GAAAAGTTTTCGATTACGTTAGAATACTAACTGCTGAATGAGGGTGGAGCTTTGTATTCCGCTCTTTCTTTCTTCAACCGTGTTGAACTTGAGACCATCCGTCTGATCGACGAACCGTCTTTAACCTCCAGCCTTCAGTCGCTTCCCCATCACCAGGCAGTTGCTTTTTTTATCTATTTTCTATCGTTACTACTCTGAACTCGATTCAGTGGTTCCCCTCCTCCTGACTATTTCTCGTCTATCTCGTTCTCAGATGGATAGTCACCGTTATCAAATTTCCGTCCCCAGATATCAAACCTATCTTACATCCATTTTTCCCCGGGATCGCGAGATTGTAGAGCGCTCTTCGCATCTCTGTGCTGCCAAACACATACAGTATTCACCTTTTCAAAAACCAAGATTAAAAATTGATTCTCATTTGAATATTACCCCTTACAGTATGCCAGTGACTAAGGGGCTTACCCCTTTTACAATAAATCACTTGGTGTGTAACAAAAAAATGATATCGTTGGGTTTCTGTACGATGGCCTCTCAAGACGCCCAATCTTCATACTTATCTACCGGCTCTTATCCGCAACCCGAAACCTAGCTGCCCAGTTATAAGCATTAGTAATTTTAATATTACAAAGTTGTGACCGAATTTTAATCCGGTAATAGAAAAAATGGGACATGTTAATACTTACCGGGATCTGAATAGCAGGATTGTGATGACCCGTCACACGGAGTTGCAGCGAGCAATGCCTCGATAGAGGCATGCAGTTCATTCCGGTCCCGCTTTGATGAATATAACAGGGTCTAGGAAAATTAAAATAACGCGATGGAAAAAAACAGATGAATGTGGAAAAGATATGTATTTAAATTTTTGTACCACAGGTAAAACAACCAAATATTTATGTAAGATATTATTTAAACCACCGAGCAACATGAACAATCACTTAACACCATGTAACACATGCATCACACGCGACTTTCTAATTTTGGTCGCTAATAGCGGTCCTTTGGACAAGCTCTTCGGGCTTGGGAATCTGGTGAGACGATTCTGTATGAATGTATCTGAAAACTTCAGAAAACTGAATGAAGAAATCCTGAAGAGACACGTGAAATACTAATATATGAATGATTTGACAGAAGATAATCAACCATTAAAAACCGATAAGCAACAACAATAGCGAGACCGATCGCGTGTTTCCACAGATATTCTGTCGTGTCATTCGGATAGCCTTAGTTTTACACAAATCTACATCCGAATTTGATCATCAAATTTAGAAAAAGACAGTGTACTAGGTATACCCACCAGTATCACTAAAATATTAGGTTTTGTCACTTCGCAAAGACGGAAGATTCGTTTCTCAATGGTTCATCCTCAACCGAGGGGACAATTATTCCAACTTGTCATCCCCAGCAATCTTTCGGGCTTATATCGGAGGGAAACGCGAACTTTTCAGTTCTACGCCCTTGTGAGCTTCAACCGCATAGGCAGGTAAACGTGATTTCAGAAGGATCATATCTACATGCCAATGCTGTTGAAGGAACATTTCATGCGACATGGAAAATTCATAACGTGACTCTAAGCACGATCAGAGTTCAGTTCAGTGTACGCAAATCTTATCGTTGTACGTGAGCCATTGTGCTGTGAACTGAGTGCTTACCTGTATTTACTGGAATCGATATAAGATATGACCGATAGCAGTACAAAGCGAGATCAGTTATAAATGGGACGCAGTAGACAATGTTAGATGAAGACCCATTTATACACTATTTGCAGACATCATGTTTTAAATTCAATAAAATGAGAGCCTGATTGGACCTTGACCTCTGACATCTGGGACACGTTAAAATCTCCGATCAAAGAAAAGCTATGTGACATTTTTTTGTGGAGATCTTCAACTGAGGAACAATTTCTCCATGGTGATTTGTAGTGAATAGCATTGATGCATCGAGATTCCAGGAATTGGTAGAAACCGCAAGATTTTTGGGATAATACTTGAAAATAACCATTCATTCTTCCATGGGGGTTAATTCACCAAACACTCGTTCTGGACAATTTGAGTGTTAGTGTAGTCACGTTCTATATGGGATTTTCGCCATCAAATTTGTAAAATATTGCTACTTGACTGGGTCGGTCCAGCAACCAGCCTCACTCTAATTGGGGAAGTAACAGAACAAGGGAATAAGATTTGTTATTAAGGGCAGCGATATCTCACGCGGCGGACGCATCACGGTTAAGTCAAAGTTTTATTATGGGAAACAGCTACAAGCGGTTGCTTTTCTTGTCCCATAGGGTTTAGTACAAATGGTCGATTTGCAATTCATGGAAAGATAAGGAATGTCACAAATTATACTTATTTCGTGCACTGTTACGGATGTCGAAATTAAAGACTTGTCAAAATTTCATCCAGTTTAGGCTTGAAAGAATCAATTGTGAGCACAGAAATGTGGGGTGGTAGAGGGTAAATGAATGACGCCGATATTCTAGTCGACATTTTCGAAGTACTAACTTGAATGAGTATCCCCTGAGGTGAGTGCTGGGCGAAAAGGAAAACAGTGGACGGTAGGTATGATCAGAGTTTTGAATTATTTGATACACGTCTCCCTCGAATTTCGCGATACTGTGTTAAGTACAGCCCCAACGATTCCAGTATTTCCACATAAGTCTTGGAATGCAGTACCTTGACCATTTTGGTAGTCATTCTTTGTGAACGTTCCAGAATCTTACGATCTCGGTGCAGTCATGAATTGTACGCTTGAATGGCATACTCTATGTGGATTGGAATATAGGTAGATAACAAACGCGGGAAGAGCAGAGGTTCAAAACTGCCAAAGCCCCGCTTTTGTAAAAACAACATGTCTTACAGCGATGGACGACGCTCTGGAGCAGTCTCAAGAACAACTTAAGTCGTTTCGGACAGTAACACCAAAATCCTCTTCATTCGAGGCATTCGGAAGTTGTTGATATCCCAGGAAGTATGGAAATCAAGTTTTGCAGTGAAAGGATACAACAGTTATCTTGATACATTGAATTCGATGTCATTTTCGATCGACCATTGATAAGCAGGCTTAGGTGTTCTCTGAAGTGCCGATGAGCCCTCGGTTTTTTTTACTGTTTTCCATATATTTTTACATCGTTTGTGGCCCCAGAATGTCCGTTGGGTAGTTTAAGAAAGCTAGAAAAAGTTGAGAGACAAGCATGGATCGCCGTAGAACACCTCGGGCTACGTTGATAGGATCAGAAAGTAACCCAGAAACCCGAAATGCCATGGTGCGTTTTCGAAAACCTCTTTCTATCTAACCGCGAATTCCATTATTGTGTATTTTTCTCAGCAGTATGTTGTGGTTGCCTCGGTCGAATGTTTTGGAGAAGTCGAGGTACACCAAGTTCACTGTATCACCACGATCAGCTGCTTTATCCATTCCTCTTCTGCCAGAAGAAGGCTAATGGTTCACGATCGCCTGCGACGAAACCCATGTTGGGCAGGGGATAACACGCATTTCTTCAAGTGAAACTGTCTGTAACAATGGATTCCACGACTTTGGATAATATGGAGAAGGGAGTAACGAGGTGGTAGTTAGCTGGGTCACTACGGCAGTTACCCTGGTATATTGGAAAAATTATTTCTTGATTTCATGTTTGTGTAGCATAACTTTGTCGAACATATGTTAGGATAGTTCTCGTAATGGTTAAGCTAGGTTACTTACAAGGATGATAAGGGTTTGTGGATGGGTGTTGTCTATCCCCAGAGATAAATTCCTTTTCAAACACTGCAGTTTCGATGCCGTGATTTCTGGGGGGAAATCAACTGTGGAGAGCGTTGGGTATGGTACGTCCTCAAGTAACAGAGGCAGCCGCAGTCCGGTGTGAACAGTGAACACTTGAGCTTACTGATCACCTAACATTTCAACTGCGTCCTTTGCTGTTACTGAGAAACGTGGTGCCATTCTTAGCGCTGGAACGCGACTTGACTTTTCTGGAGACATTTATCTATTTGTACAACAGCTTGGGATTGGATGTAAACTTGTGCACCAGCATATCTTGGTACATCAACTTGTCTTCTGGCGTCAACTTGGTGCAGTGGTTTCGGAGTAGACAGCAGGTATACTACATATTGGTACAGGGAAATCGTTCAAAAGTTCTCCAGCAGGATAATCACTACTTCACATTGTAGTCTGCTGTTAAGGTAGAGTACCACACCACCACCCCTCGTGTGTCGATCTGGTCTGAGCAGAGTCATGCCAGGTAGTTCTGGGTCAAGAATGTCGGTTGTCAGCTAACTTTCGGTAACTGCAATAATGTCCCATTGACCATTTTGGCAACGCATTTCCACCTCTGAAAATTTGCTGAGGAAACCTGGGGAATTAGTGTAGAAACAATGCAGTTGATTACGGAGCAAAAACTCATCGGGCTGCAAAAGGTTAGTTAAGCCGACTGTGTCGTGGTCCGCTAGGGAAAGCTTTTGAGAGAAGAGATTGTTGGGTCTAGTCTACAAGCTGCAGGAAGGAACATGAAGTCTAT